ACAAGCGGATTTGACCAGCGAATTTATTTAATTATTAACATTAGGTAGAAAAAATGACCGCCAAATTATTAAATCGAATGAATGGTTCATATTGTTCAGGTTTTAATTTTTTTCTTTTAAGATTTTCTAATTTATCCTTAATTATATGATTATCCATTTAACTTTTCCGTTAATTCACCGTTAGTCTAATTCTAATATTAAAGTCTAATATAGAATTATAACTACACCATTAATCTAATTCTAATATTAAAGTCTTAATAGAACTTAACCACAAATCCTAATGTCGAAATCTCCTCAAACAATATTAGTATATATTTCATATTTTATGCCCTAATTTTTATTTGTTCTCCCTTATGTCCCGTATTTGGTTTCAACCATACCTATACAATTATTTTATTGACAATTATAATCAATATTGACTATATTATCTTGCATTTGTAAACTTAGAATTACCTATTTAACCCGCACGGGCTTAGCTCAATGGTTTAGTGGGTAGTATTTGGGAGAAGAGACCAAGGTTTGAACCTCGGCGCCGGCAATGCGGGAATTATGTCCAAAGTGGGCAGATTCCTTGTGCGTACCAGCATTTGGCCCTGTCTGCTGAACCATTGAGTCACCGTGATTTTTCCCACAATGCTCTGTCGGGTCGGAGTGGGGGGGGGGGGGGGGCTTGGGGTTGGGGACTCAACCTTTGGGAGAAGAATTACCTATTTAAATACGCAAATTCAACCTTCAATTATCTATGCATGAACAATTTCAATATAATCTTGCCTTAATATACTTTAAAGTACTTATATATAAAAAAAAAAAAGCATTGGACATTATCCCAATCGCGCAATGCGCGTAAAAAACTAGTATATATATATATAGATTAAGGATCAAATGAGGATGCTTTCCTACATGAGGATTGTGGATAAATCTTGGCTGTTGATTAAGGTTAATGTGTGGTTTTGATTTGATCTTTTATTTTGTTTTGGAATCTCACGTGATGGGGATTGGGGGGTTTTAGTCTTTTTCTTTATTTTCCATACATGGTCATTATTATTTTGGGATCATTTGCTTATTTTTAGCATTGGAAATTAAGGTAAACTTTGATTTTAACCATATTTCCACAGCGATCATTTTTGTGCTCTGTGACAATTCTGCTTTGCGTCAACTTTTTTGTCTATGCGTCCAAGAAAGAGTTCTTGCTGCACAAACTTTTGTTTTACACGTCTAGCTTTTGTGTGTTTTTGTATTACGAGGTGTAGAATGGCGTCACTAGGTACGTATTCTTTATCATCCTCCTTATTCATTGTCGTTTCTTCTGCAAGTGTTTCTTATTCAATTTAGATCGAGGAACCGGATTAAGTGGGTTTTTTGTTTGTAGTTTCTTAATAACTGGTTACATAGTGTTGCTCTCGGGCGCGCGCGGGGGTGGGGGGGTTTCGATGTTTAACATTGGTGGGTTGGGTTGGGTTGGGTTGGGTTTGTTTGTTTGTTTGTTTTTTTTTTTAAAAAAAAAAAACTTTCGTATAGGTTCGACGGGGTGCGGGTACGGTTGCCGTAGTTTGTTGTTTGTTTGTGTGCATTGGTGATGTCTGTGTTTGTGCTGTATATTTGTGCCAGCCATGCTAAATTCACGCGTGTGCCATTTTTTTTCTCATTTTATTTGCAGTTTGTGGGGTTGGTTGTAGAGGTATGTGACACTAGGGGTATATATAGGTTTCTTGTGTGTGTGTCTCCACCCTCTCTTGATGCGTATGGGGGTACAATTTATGGTAGTGTGTTGTTTTATTGGATGTGCGTTTGTGTGCATCAGTGATGTATGTGTTTGTGCTCTAGTTTAGTGCCGGTCGTGCTTAATCCACTCACATGCATTTACAATTTTTTTTTATTTCTTTTTGGTTGGTTGGGTGTGTAGGTCGTTTCGAATCCATTCAAGGTTGTGTGATGGATGTTTTGCCAAGTGAGACAACGTATTGGTTGCCAACGTGTGATGAGGCAGTCAGGCCTTTTAAGGCCCAATGTTTTGAGAGGTTTGACCATGGTGTTGCGTTTTATCGGCAATATGCGTTTGTGGTGGGTTTTGATATATGTCGAAGTACGGTTATGAAGAATAAGGAAGGTGTTGTGGTTTTAAATTACTTGGTGTGCTCCTGGGAAGGCTTTAAGCAGCTTGTGGGTGATCAATAAAAGCATGTGAGTGATTCATCTGTTCGGTGTGTTCCCGTGAAGGCTTTAAACATCCCATCAATTAAGTAGTTTTTTTTTTTTTTTGAATTATAATTCATATTACGTTTCTTACCACTATTTATCCATGTTATTTAACTTTGTTTTCATTATTTATTGGGATTTGGTTTTTAAGTTTACTGTACCGTTTTAAATTATGGATACATTTGCATCTTTCAATTGTGTATTCTAATTCAACTACGTTGTGCATTTTCATTTACTATGGTTGAGATATCAGCTTGGCCAATGCACAATAATCTTAATCTGAGTAGCACATTCAACTTCAAAAATGCAGAACTGCACTGCAATCATATCCGCTGATGCACACAGTCACTCACAAACATAACGCCCACAAATGCACGTTTTTGTAAATATGATATGCACAAAATCTTAAAACTATAGCGGCACTCCTCATTATTTGAATCTTCAAACAACTCCCCATCTAAACATACCCAAAACCATGTTTACTTTAAAACCTATTTCATTCGTGGCAAACCGTAAAATACACAACAAAAGTGTTCCATCAACATATCTAATTAGAATTTTTGACTAATAATATTCATATTCTGCCCCATCTTCATCTTGGTTATCTTGTTTTGATTCTTGCACCGGTGGATCTATGAAATCAACATTGGCGTTCTGGCCATCCCTATCATCTCGAGGTATCTTCTTCGACTTTTGATTCTTTGTTGCAAATGCTCAATTCAAAATGGGAAATTATTAACTCACCAACATCTCATTCCTGGAAACATTAAACTGCACAGATACTACAATCATTTATGCACATATTACCCATAACAAATAAGAGCAATACTACACTCATTTATTTTAGATAAGAGCTCTGGCAATCCCATCAACGTTCCCATTAACAAATATCATAACACATTTAAACACAAATCATGCCTAGGAACGAACGTTCAACACAAATATATCATCCCATACAACACAAAACATTATATCATTGATACACCCAATTCAGATAACAACTTTACTCTACCAAAATGCACAAAAAACTCAGCTACTCACAATATTATTTCACAATTACAGTATCCACAAATGCACACAGTGACCAAGTAGCCATCTACTATTTTAAATAGCCAGCAAAACATAAATGTTATGGGCATGACTTCGCTTTTTTCCTGCTGGCTTTTATCCAAAACCCCATTTCCCGGTTTGTGCATTGCTAATACGCAGAAAACCATGGCTGCATATTTAAATGTAGCTTTAATCTCCCATCTCGGAACCCTATTTTTTCCAAAATCCATTCCCAACCACACTGTGTAGCGTCCAGAATTTGTAGAACGATAAAAAACAATTAAATACAAGTAATAGACGTACCTATTCTTCTAGCCGCCTCTAAGGACGCCTGCCTTTTGCTCTGTCGATTACTTTCGCCGGCCATGGATTGTTCGTCAAATCGCAACATACAACTCTACAATCTCTCTACTATGCTTCACCTCTTTGTCTGGACTCTACTCTATGGCAGTTAACTTCAATATCAAAGGTAAATGCAGGACTATGATTTGAGCATCGCGGTCGTAGTCGTCGAAGGAAAGTGAAGATGAAACGATCGGGAATCACGGAGGTTACCTTGGTTGGATGTTGTATAATAGCTACTCTTTTACTATTTTACCCCCTATTGTGATTAATTACTAACCTTACTGTCATCAATATGCGTTTTTAACTCCTCATATCTGTGCAATCATAACCATATATCACCATAATCGTATGGCCTAAAATTGTCCACACATCCTCATGTGGGATATCATCCTCACTTGATCCCCACTCTCTCTCTCTCTCTCTCTCTCTCTCTCTCTCTCTCTCTATATATATATATATATATATATATATATATATATATATATATATATATATATATTAAAGCAAAACAAAGGGATCAAAAAAATCCCGCCCAAATGAAACGGCGACATTTTGACAAAGGCGGATAATTTATTGTTAAAGCTTCGAAAAACCAAAGGTCTCCTATTGAGTATAATACCTACAGTTTATATAAAACCGATTTTTTTAAATACATTTACGGCTGATCACTCTCCCATCCAATTGGATTGGAGAATGTATTTAATCCATACATAATCTCTAGGAATTTACTATGGGACATATGGGAGATTGAGCCCATGAACCCATACATATTCTCTAGGTATTTACTAGCTGTTTATTTCGAAGGAAATATAACGAAAGGTCATCAGACCTTATATATACATCACATACTCCATATACAAAGCTACTCAACTCAATACATTCGAAATTTCCATAGATAGAGATACTCTCTGATTCTTCTTCCCTTCTACAAAATGTTTGTCCTTGCTAGCCAAATATCTCCGATGAATACCAGGCAAGCTCTTAGGCTAAGGGTGGTCCGAGCATATCAGATTCCTGAGAGGAATGATCCATCGAAGATTAGATCAAAAGAAATTGTTTTCCATGATGAAGAGGTAAGGAACATTTAACAGTAGATAGAGATAAGCAGTCCAGATTATCTATAATAGTTTTTTAAATAGCCTTACATACAGTCTTTTTACATTTACAGTGATGATTTTTGTTATCTATACACATAGATTAGATATATATTTACAGTCCTATTTTTGTTATTTACAAACACACAGGGTTCCTTCTTGCATGCTCATGTACCCAAAGAGTAAATTGAAAAGTATCTTGCCTGTTTTTCAGAAGGTTCAGTGTATGCTATAAAAAATTTTTGTGTGATCACAAACTTTTACTCATACAAAACCAGTCCACAGAAGTACATGATAAAATTTAACTATCAGACTATGGTTAAGGATTTAAAGCATGTGAAGTTTCCTATGAAAATGTATCGGCTGAAGACCTTTAAAGAGATCAAGTCTATTGAAGGCCTTGATGAGAAACACCTATTTGGTAATCTGTTCTCTCATTCAGCCTATCCTTTCCAAATAATTAATAATTTTACTATTATTATATCATCTAATCCATTTTTTTGTAGATGTTATTGGTCGAGTTATTGAAATACACTGCCCAGAGGAAAAATTAATTAATGGGAAGAACTCCAGGCTGATTGACTTCACTCTTGAAGACCCCGAGTAATACTGAAAATCACTGCCTTTCTATCATTTTTTATTAATGCTGTTTTTCTAATATATTATCAATAAATTTGTAGTGGAATACAACTAATGTGTACTTTGTGGGATGAACACGTAAGCAAGATTGAGGCATTCTACAATTCTACTTCACAAGAACCAATGTTGGTCTTGGTACAGTTCTGTAGGGCAAGGGTGTGTTTAAAAAGTAAGGACTTACTTCTGTAACTATCTTATATTATCAATTACATCTTAAAAAGTCTTCTTAAAACATCTTTATAGTGTAATGTGTACTAATACTATTTTCTAAAAGGTGGTGATGTCAAGATTTGTAGCTCCTATGATGTAACACAGCTGCTTTTCAACCAAGAATCTCCCCCCTTTGAGGAGTTCAGGAAGAGGTTAGTCAATTAACATTATTTCATTACTATCAGTTACATTTATAGTCCATTCTTATCTGTAATTCTTATTTTATGTTCTGTATTACCTATATTTTACAGGACGAGTCATGAACAGACACCAATGCGCAGTATTATATCGCAATCAAGTTTTAAGGAATGTAGCTCATATTCAGTTGCACTATCTGGTGATATTGAAGTGCGTACTATCAGTGAGATCTACAGAGACAAGGATGTAGTATTTACATAAATTTAAACTTACATCAATGCTTGCTTCTTCACATTTGGAAAAATTGTCCTTTCTGAATGTCAATTGCTGAACTCCTCAGTACACTGGGAACTACAATCTGTAGTCTTTTGCCTGCATTTTATATTTTGGATCAGATAAAGCAAAACAAATTGTGGAATGTGATAAAGTTTTATAGAGCCTAACATTGATTACTTATATAATTTAATAATTTGGTACCACTATCTGTTGTGGCAGTTCTGTTTTTTGGTTTTTGCAAGCATATACTCTCTAATGAACCCAAACCTGCAAAATCAGAAGTGATATTTGTTAGTTTTTGGATCAGATAAAGCAAAACAAATTGTGGAATGTGATAAAGTCTTATAGAGCCTAATAACATTGGTTACTTATCTAATATAAGAATTTTAGACCACCATCTGTTGCGGCAGTTCTGTGTTTTGTTTTTTGCAAGCATATACTCTCTAATGAACCCAAACCTGCAAAATCAGAAGTGATATTTGTTAGTTTTTGGATCAGATAAAGCAAAACAAATTGTGGAATGTGATAAAGTCTTATAGAGCCTAATAACATTGGTTAGTTATCTAATATAAGAATTTTAGACCACCATCTGTTGTGGCAGTTCTGTGTTTTGTTTTTTGCAAGCATATACTCTTTAATAAACCCAAACCTGCAAAATCAGAACTGATATTTGTTAGTTATATAACGTAATGATGATTAATAATTACTGTTAGCTAAAGATTTCCAGAATTATACATTATATTATAGTTGCATCTCTAATTGTATAAAGTTCACTGCAGTTTGGAGATTTCTGGGTTGCAGCTAGGATTGTGTTCATTGATGATCCAGACTGGTACTATGCTTCGTGTCGAACCAAGGGTTGCAACAAAAAGCTTAAGCTAAAAGGGAAGTGGCTGTGGTGTAGTACATGTGACAGAAATTGGGGTGATGGGACACTGAGGTACAGAGTTAAGGTTAGAGTTGTGGACTTGGATGGCAATGCGCCTTTTCTTCTATGGGACAGGGAGTGCCTCGATCTAATTGGAATTAGTGCAGATGATTTGAAGGATACCCATACAAAGGTACTAATACAATTTCATCATGTCCTATACTATTAGCTTAGTACTACTAACTTTGTCATCTCATGAAAGACATATATATAATTATCCAAATGAAGCATCTACCTAAGTATTCAGTTAATTCTCTTTGGACCACCTAAATGAAAAACATTAATATAGTATAGCTTTCATAAGTACTGTATCTCTGTTAACTAATTGAATTATCTGCAGGGAAGAAAGGGTCTACCTAAGGAGCTTGAAACTCTAATCGGCTTGAATCTGTTATTTCGAATTGCTGTGCGTAAGGAACAGTTCCAAAACTATCTCAATGCTTTCTCTGTTATGAGAATCATCACTGATGAAAAGATTGTTGAGAAGCACGCACCAGAGCTAATCCAAGTTAGGGACAGGGACCTCTCACCAAAGTTGGAGTTGGAGCTTACGGATGAGGACCTATGGGATATAGAGGAATACTGCTGATCCAGAAACATGTTATAAGAATTACTTTATAAACTAAAGTATTTTACATTTACATGTTCACCATTTCTATGTGTAGGATATAGACCCAGCCAATGAAGCTGAAAGCCCTCTCTAAGTTGTTGCACAGAGACTGAACGAAGATAACATTATTGAGAATGGAACCATGAAGAGATCGCTAATTGATGAGTTTTCAAGCACACAAAGTTCGAAGAAAAGCAAGGACAGTGTTGTGAAGATTGAGAAAGAAACAGATTTGTAATGAATTAAATGTTTGACAATGTGCTCTTCTGGTTTTTTTTTTGGTTTTGAATGATAGTTTTTGTTGACAGTATTGTGTTTTGGGAACATCAGCTGGACTGAACCTTTTTGGATAATGTATGGTTTTGTTGGTTTAGTACCAAACATGAGAAACCCTCTAGATTTGTGATATTCCTATGACAGATTTTTTTTTTGCAGGAATTGATGGCACAACAATAGAAAGATTGCAGAGATCATCGTAAAAGAATGCAAAGGCTTGCAGACATGGTGGGAAAAGGTCAATCAGTTGGCAGGCATATTCCTAAAGACCAAACTGATGGCACACAAATCTTGAAGTAGCTGAAATCAGCATTCTCGAGGACCATCCAATGGTTTATGTTAGCATGTAATACAGCTGACACTTTCTAATTATGTAATATTAAGGAACATTAGTGTACATTATGAACCTACAAGTTTAATTTTTTTAAATTTTGTGTGCTCTCAATTTTAATGATTAAATAAGTCTGTTTTTATTGTAATGACTATATGTAAAACTTATAAATATTGGTTTTCCCTAATTCTATACTTTGTTAATTATTTCACTTCTACAGTTGGATACACTCACATATCTGCAAGTTGTCATCCAAAAAAATGTAACTAAACTAATAAAAACTGAATATTCAAATTAGTAGATCATGTAAGGCAGCCAAAGTTAGTAGTACTACACTGCAACTGTAAATCCAAGTGTATTTGGCATCTCAACAATCTATTACTAAATTCGTATTAGGATTAAAGCAATTTAGAACCACGTTATTTCATCTCTCAACAATTTTGGCAAAGTGTCATAAATTAACATGCATTCAATTATTTAGAAGAGGAATGTGTGATAAAAGCAAAAAAAAAGTTCTATCACTTAATCATATTACCGGACAATTAATAGTAAACAAAAGAACAAAGGGACACGTGTATATAAAAAATAGTCTTATCACTCCACAATATCAACACTAGATTAATTACAATATATAATACATTAGTTTTCAATGAAGTACAGTAACAGCTATCAGTGACCTAAAGCTATTGTTGGAAAGTAAAGTAAAAATGTGTTTCCAAGTACTCATAATTGAGGACTAAGGGACTTACCAGTTGTTGACAACAATGTACAGTTGATTATCTCCTCAATGACCTTTTATACAATGTAGATTATGTTGCATCTTACCTGCAGTTGAACCAACAACCGTTAAATCTAAAATACGACTTGCAGCAACTTAATTAGCATCTTACATCTTATTAGGGACTTACCAATTGTTGACAACAATTTTGGTTAAAAGCAAGCGTCCTTAAGTAATGTTAGTTGAAGACCTTTTGATGTGTAGTTTACCTGCATTTGGGGGATTTTGAATTAACTGAATATATGCCTTAAAGTTATTCTTGGTTACGAACAATGTAAGGAAATTATTATGCTTGACTAACATTTGAATGGGTGATCAGATTGAGCCATACAAGGGTATTAAAACTTATCTTTTAGACGTCCGAAGCAACTGTTAATACAATATTCTGTACTCCAACTTTTGTATCTATGAACCATCCACAAATTAATGGGCATAAATACAATGTAGGTGTACCAGCTTACCTGCAAGGGGAGGATTACAATTAAACAGATTAATTCATCATTAACATTAGATAGTTTAACAACACTCAAACAATATCAGCAAGTAGTGTGTATCTTTATTGTAAAGCACATTAGATGGACAACAAACTTATCTTTAAGCTCCCCGAAGCATGTGTAAATACAACAGTCGCAAACACAGATCATTATCAAATAAAGCCTATCACAACCATCAGTATTTGTGGGATTGAACCGACTACTGTCTACCTGCAAAATGACATAAAGTTTATTATATTATGTTACCTAAATAAGAAACCTATTTACATTCCAATAAAAATTGTCAATTCCAGTTTAGTATGAATCCAATTACTAATAATATTCATCTACCTATGTTAATGGACTTCCCTGTGCATTAAGTAGCACAACTAAACCTTTCAGTATTCCAAAAGCCATTATAATGGCCAATTTCCAATGTTGTCTCCAAATATTAATTGAGTAGTTCTTTTCAACTATATAATCAACACAGAGAGTTTAAACAGCTGTTTTAAACACCACCTAAACAATTCCTTATTCTAACCAATACATCTCCCTAAGAATACATGAGGAAACTTACATCTACAACCACCATTGGGTCGAAGAGGAAGCATCCCAGCAACAACCAAGGTAAATCTTAGTACACTTCTATCTTTATTATAGCTATCTGTCTTCCTATATAGATAGATATTATAAGAAATAGTTCGGTACACTGTAAAAAAAATAATTAAAAAAATCTACTTATTAACCAACGAATTCTAGCTTCTCCGATGCAAATTAAAAATCATCTTATAAATTCAACGGTTAGCAAAATTCATATGCATGTGTTGTATACTCGGATTACTTCTACATATTTAATTGATAAATGCTATCAATATCCCTATTTATATATACATCTGAACAACGTAGAATAATTAGGTTAGTAATACATACCCAGTTTTGTTGTTATTTTCCAAATCGAATAGCTGAACCACCGAATCGGAAAAATTGTCACCGACCCTAATCGCACACATTTATGACCAAAAATGTCTGATCTGTATGTACCCATGAACTCCGGCGACTATAGTGTTCACCGGAGCGAACCGTGCGTTGATAGTCCAGATCAAACCTCCGATTTGACACTCAGACGTCGAGTATGCCGAGAGCTATTTGTCAGTCGATGCTCCCCACAAACATCATCTTCATTGTCAATCCATAGTACAGAGTACACGAGACTCACCAATCGAACCCTAACCCCTTACTCAGCTCCATTTTTAGAGAGAGAAACCAGGTGGATTGCCAGCGAAATGAGCTCACAATGAGCGTTCAAGGGATTAGGAAAGCGACATCATCGAGACCATTCTCACTGTCATTTCCATTTTATTTATTTATTTATTATTATTATTATTATTATTATTATTATTATTATTATTATTATTATTATTATTATGATTAATGTTATTATTGTTTGTATTATTAATAATAATAATAATAATAATAATAATAATAATAATAATAATAATAATATTATTATTATTATTATTATTATTATTATTATTATTATTATTATTATTATTATTATTATTATTATTATTAGTATAATTGTTATGATGTTATTAGTCTAAAAGTTTCTGATTATTCTATTATTATTATGATTGTGATTATTAATATTCTGATTATTATTGTTCTTATAAATAATTGTTAGCCAAATATTAGTCTCAATCATTAATGTGATTATTATAATAACAAAATATTGGTTGTAATTATGCTATTTAGTATTATTTTTGAAATTTAATATTTAAAGGTTATTAGTAATAAAAATAATAAAATGGTTACGAAGATTAATAGCATTTTCCTTATTTCTAAAAAATGGGACATTGTTATATAAAAACACCTATGGTTAAAAGATATATCATTATATAATATTATCATGACATATTATGAAAAAAATAATGTGATAATATGGTTAAATATAAAATTTGCAATATTGGATTAAAACTATCGGTATTATTATACAGTACAATAGTGACATCAATTACGAACTATCATTGGATAATTACAGTATAATTTGTTATTATTGTCAAAAATTGTTCCAACGAACGATTTGTGATATGTGATAGACATATGTGTTTACGTTGCAGCGAATGAGAATAGTAATATCACTGATGCAGCCTACGGGTCGCCAATTGAATCCAGCCGGAGTGCAGTCAATAGTAAACCGCTTATTGGTGTTTTCCAAAGTTCGCTAAGTACGCCATTAAGTATTGTTACAAATGGTAAGTTTGGCCTTTAACACAATGTATATCCTTATTGAATAAGTTGGTAACATAAACTTCATACTCTAATTCACAGCATCAAGCGTAATTAGTACGACAATTCGACAATCACCGCTGCAAGAGTTGAGTTGCAGAATGCCGTTAAGCAACATATCAAATAGTACGAATCTCAAACATTACTTTTCGCTTTCAGTCTTGCAGATGATATGAATGGAGTTTGTAAAATGCTATACTTAACATTCTAACATCTGTTTTGTGTGGCTTTTAAACAATTAAAGCAAATTGCGCTCGAGATGAGGGCGATCGTGATAAACCACTTAGTACAAAGTGCCGCAATCGTTCGTTCGACCTAAATAGATCACCAGATTCGCAACTAGGTATAATTTTTTAATTCAATAATATACTTATTACTTATGTTAAAATAAAACTCTAGAGTTCGTTTTTTTGTAAGGATCTTTCTCATTTATTTGTTAATAATAGTCGTTGTTCCTTCATTTTGACAGTTTCTTCTCCGATACGAAGGACAATACATACTACATCAACGAAAAATTTGAGTAGCAGAATGCCGTTTAGCAACGTAGCAAATAGTATGAACTTCAACAAATATAAATAAATATTGTAATAAGAGTGTATAGTCAAATCGTTTAATTATTATTCTAACAAACTTTGACTAAAATATATGTTATATTATAGAAAATTGCGGTACAGTCAATGAGGACCACGGCAAAACACCTACCTGTAACCGTCAAACTTGCACATTCGACTTAAACCGAACACCAAATTCGCAAATAGGTATAAATATATATCGAGGGATAGAAGGATAGATTTTTAAATTTATGCAGTTATAATGTTTAAGTAAATATGTAATCATATTGACTTTTAATTACATATTGTTTTTTTAGGTTTTGCAAGTAACGGTTGTATTACAAATGACAATAATATGCAAATAGTCGTTGTAGAGCCAGAGAGTCGACCCATCGAGCATTGCCGAAATCTGATGCATGATTTTCAGGAAGTTGTTGAACCGTTACATGACAATATGCCCCCAAATAATGGTGAGTTCATTTGTGATATGCTATGACCAGAACGTTTTCTCTTTGTATTAAGGGACTATCTTACATTATTATTTTACATACGAACTAATACATTTTTTGTTTTGACTAGGTTATTATTTTGATATTGGTGATCCAGATTATGTTTGCGAGCATTGTAATTCGTTTTTTTGGTACAATGAACGGTCAAGCAATTCCAAGGGCTCTGAAAATCCAAAATACTCTGCATGTTGTGTCAATGGGAAGATAAAGTTGCCATTAATGACAAAGCCTCCTCAGAAGTTGCATGACCTATTCTTTAGAACCAGTGATAAAAACAAATGTTTTTTAAAGAATATACGTTCCTACAACAACATGTTCTGCTTCACGTCCATGGGTGGCAAAATTGATAGAACTATTAACAACGGAACATCACCGCCTATATTCCGTATTAATGGTCAAAATTTTCATCGCATTGGGAGCTTAGTCCCTTCAGTTGGCATTCAACCTAAATTTGCCCAGTTATACATTCACGATACAGAAAATGAGATAGAAAATCGATTCAACTCTTTGAGGTATACTGTTTTGTGTTAATCAAATTTATTTTAGTTAGATCATGTCTGAATACGGAATATCTAATATTTTATATTATTCATTGTTTAGGGCGCAAAACAATGGTTCTACATTGCATGTTGAGGTAGTACACGACATTAAGCAAACGCTAGATGAACACAATGTGTTGGTTAAGTCATTCCGAATGGCCAAGTCGTTTATTGAATCTAATCCTCAAACTCAGATAAGAATGAGATTAATAGGGAAGATGACCAAAGATGCCAGAACTTATGCGCTTCCAACTACATCCGAGGTTGCCGCTCTCATTGTTGGAGATATAGACCCTTACATGGGACAGCGTGATATTATTGTCGAGTCTAGATCAAGAGTCCTGAAACGAATAAGTGAATTAAACCCAGCTTATTTACCATTGCAATACCCAATATTATTTCCATATGGAGAGGATGGTTTCAGGGAAGATATACATTTTGCTACACAGGGTACTAAACAAGACTTTTCAAGAAAGAGTGTTTCACAAAGAGAGTACTTCGCGTTCCGTATACACGAAAGATCAAATGAGATCTCAACTATAATGTATGCTAAAAGGTTATTCCAGCAATTCTTGGTTGATGCATATACTATGGTTGAATCTTCGAGGTTACTCTATATTCGGTTAAATCAAAAAGCTTTGAGGTGTGAGGCCTACAAAGGACTCTCTGATGCGCTGACACGAGGTGAAGTTCAACCAGTTCTCAAGGTAAAAGAATCATATTACCATCAAGTTTCACTGGAGGAGCAAGGTACATGATACAAAACTACCAAGACGCCATGGCAATTTGTAGATTTTTAGGCTATCCCAATCTTTTTATTACATTCACATGTAATCCTAAATGGCCTGAGATAGAACGCTTCTTGGAGAAAAGAAACTTGAAAGCTGAAGATCGCCCGGACATTGTTTGCCGTGTTTTCAAAATGAAGCTAGACTGTTTAATAAAGGAAATAAAAAATGGGAAACTATTTGGTCGCGTAAAGGCAGGTGTGTAACGTAATTCAAACGAAGTTTTTTTTTCCTTAATAATTAATATAGTAACCGTATAACTTACAATATAAATACATTATTGACAGTTATATACACAATTGAGTTCCAGAAACGTGGTCTTCCGCATGCTCACATATTACTATTCCTTCAAGCGAACAGCGAATTTGCTGACCCGGCCTTTATGGACACGATCATTTCAGCCGAGATCCCCGACAAGGTGACAGAGAATGAATACTACAAACATGTTGGAGAATTCATGTTGCACGGCCCGTGTGGTGCTGCCAGAATGAAATCCCCGTGCATGGCAAATGGCAAGTGTTCAAAGCATTTTCCAAAAAGATACATTGATGCATCGCATTTTGACCAAGATGGTTACCCGTTGTATCGAAGGAGGGATGATAAGAGGACAATAAAAAAAATGGAATAGATTTGGATAATAGATATGTTGTACCACATAATCGGTACTTACTACTGAAATACAAATCACATATTAATGTTGAGTGGTGTAACCAATCCAGGTCAATCAAGTACTTATTCAAGTACGTAAACAAGGGCAACGACCGGGTCACTGTTGAGTTTTATAAGGCTACAATCGATGGTGCTGGTAACGAGATTGTCGATGAGATAAACATGTACTATGATTGCAGGTACGTATCTGCATGTGAGGCAACATGGAGGTTGTTTAGTTTTGAAGTACAGTACAGAACTCCCCCGGTTGAGCGATTAAGCTTTCACTTGCCGGACTACCAATCAGTTGTTTTCCAAGACGATGATACGATTGATAATGTCCTCAATAGGGAAACCGTTGGGCAAAGTATGTTTAATGCATGGTTTGTAGCCAATCAGAAGTTCAAAGAAGCGAGTTTACTGACGTACATCGAGATGCCTACCAAATTTGTGTGGAAGAAGGACATCCGTGAATGGCATCCAAGAAAGAAGGGTTCCTCAATTGGTAGAATATTCTATGTGCCTCCAGCTTCAGGCGAAATATATTATTTTAGGTGTCTATTGAACATAGTCCGTGGCCCGACAAGTTACAAAGATATTAGGACAGTTAACGGTGTTGAGTACTTAACCTTTAGAGATGCGTGTTATGCTCATGGATTGTTAGACGATGATAAAGAGTACATTGATGCTATAAATGAAGCAAGTTACTGGTCAAGTGCGCATTCATTGAGGAAGCTATTTGTTGTCTTACTAACATCATCATCAATTATTAGACCCGAAAATGTTTGGAATCAAGTGTGGGAACATTTGTCGGAAGATGCTCAACATTATCAAAGGAGAGTATTAAAACAACAAGGTAATGTTACTTCTTTAGTATACAATAAAGTTTTCAACATTTTTACTAGATTATAGTTATAACTATTTTGATGTTGTTACTTTAACAGATTTGGTCTTAACAGAGGAAGAGAAAAAGAACTTTGCATTAATTGAACTGGAAAACCTGTTGGGTCTACAAAACAAGTCTTTAAAAGACTACCCCCGATGCCAACACCAAGTACTGATAATTCACGTTTGTTTCAAAATCGATTGGTTTTTGAAGAGTTGTCATACGATTCGGAACAATTGAAGGCAGATTCTGAGGTCCTTCGTGCCAAACTAACTGAAGAACAGGGTCTCATATATGATACTGTTATCAAAGATATTGAGAACAAGAAGGGTGGCTTATTTTTTGTTTATGGCTATGGTGGAACAGGAAAGACTTTCCTGTGGAGAGCGTTATCAGCTGCAGTCAGATGCAAAGGACGAATCGTTTTAAATGTCGCTTCAAGTGGCATAGCTTCTTTGTTGTTACCAGGTGGCCGGACTGCACACTCGAGATTTGCAATACCTATTGCAATAAATGAGGACTCTACCTGTAACATTAAGCAAGGTAGCGACCTGGCTGAGTTGCTGATCAAGACGAGCTTGATAATTTGGGATGAAGCTCCCATGATGCATAAACATTTCTTTGAAGCTTTAGATAGAACCATGCGGGATTTGTTGCGTTTTGTAGAACCTAATAGTGAAATGAAGACGTTTGGTGGTAAAACAGTTGTCCTGGGTGGGGATTTCCGTCAAATTCTTCCAGTAGTTCCCAAAGGTACATGGCAAGACATTGTTTCTTCAGCGATCAATTCATCATACCTATGGGATAGTTGCAAAGTCTTAAGGTTGACTAAAAACCTCAGGCTCAGCTCGGTACCAAATTGTGGAAACCGGCAGGCGTTACAAGAGTTTGCTGACTGGATTGCCAATATTGGGGATGGGAAGATTGGTGGCCAGAATAACGGGTTTGCAGAAATTGAAATGCCAATGCACATGTTAGTATCATCCGGGGGGGACGACATTAAAGCAATTGTGCACAGTACATTTCCTATGTTTGCAAGTGGGAACACTGACCCCGAGCACCTATTGGGTCGTGCCATATTAGCACCGACGCTCGACGTTGTCAACGCTGTTAATGACTATATGACTGAGTTGCACAATGCCGAAAGTAGGTCATACTATAGTTCAGACGCAGTATGCAAAGCCGGTGGCGATAACGGTATATTTGGAGACGTACACACACCGGAGTTTCTAAATAGCATTCGGGTTTCAGGTCTACCAAATCATACACTGACTTTGAAAATCGGATCACCAGTAATGTTAATGAGAAATATTGACCATTCACTTGGTTTGTGCAATGGAACTCGGTTGATAATCACAAAGCTAGCAGATCATGTGATTGAAGGCGAGATTCTGACTGGTCCCAACAAAGGTACAAAGGTGTTAATCCCCCGAATGTCAATGGCACCCTCGGATCCAAGATTGCCGTTCAAGTTTCAACGAAGGCAATTCCTATTGATGCTTTCATATGCGATGACCATAAACAAAAGTCAAGGCCAAACGTTGACCCATGTAGGTTTAGTACTAAAGAAACCGGTTTTTGTACACGGTCAGTTGTACGTAGCTGCATCTCGGGTTAATAATCCAGACGGTCTCAAAATATTGATAGCAAAAGACTCAAGTTCAACTACAACCTCAACCACTAATGTTGTATATCATGAAGTTCTCAATAATTTGTAGTTTTCTAATGTATTATTTTTATATTACCATCACCTTTATACTAATTCTAACATACCATTTTGAGTTGTTTTTTGTTGAGCTCCCAAATATAATGAATGATTATATATACCAAATTCTTACTGTATTGCTTCAACCAATTTTTAACATAACATAAACATAATTAATGTTTATGTAATTTACATCCCGTGCATCGCACGGGTCAAACACTAGTATATATATATATATATATATATATATATATATATATATATATATATATATATATATATATAAAATCCTCCTAGTTAAGTTTTCCCTCCAAAACTTAGGGACATTTTTGTAACATCATCCAATTTATATATATATATATATATATATATATATATATATATATAGGCGAGTTCAGGTGCGGCAGTGTCTTACGGTGCGGCGATTTCTTACGGTGCGGCAACACCAATAGTTCAACAAATATGCACCATCAACGTTAGGAAAATACACCACACAAAACAGAGTAAACAGAGCCCTGCATCACCAAACACACACCATTAGGTGTGAGTAAAAACACCATACACTGTTCGGAAATACACCATTGGGGGTGGTGAGTTATATGGTGTATTTTTTTGAGTTTGTTGTGTATTTTGTGATGTTTTATTGCATTTCATTGTGGTGTGTTTTTATTACACTGTTGGTGCATATTGTTAACACTGTTGGTGTATTCTGGAATTTTGCCGCACCGCCGCACGTTAAGACCCCGCCGCATATGAGCGCTCTTCTATATATATATATATATATATATATATATATATATATATATATATATATATATATATATATATATATATAGTATAGATAGATTGCATATTTACCATATACGAATTTATTATATATATAATATAGATAATATAGATTGCATATTTACCATATATGCATATTTCGTACAGGTATTCAATGGTAAGAGGTAAATTTATATGGTAAGAGGTAAATTTATATGCATATTTTGAGGTAAATTTATATGCATATTTCTGAAGTTTATTTAGTAAAATTGGAAAATAAAAAGGGATTCTTAATTCAATAAAAATGATAAAGGGAAATGAAAGATTGTTAAAAAAAAAAAAAAAAACAAAAAAAAAAAAAAAAAAAACAAAAAACAAAAAAAACAAAAAAAAAGGGTCATAATAAGGATAACAGTAATAAAAAAATCCTACCAAAATTTTTGAAAAAAAATTATTAATTTACAAATAATAGAAAAGGAACAGAATTCACTGATTAATTAATACTAATAGTAATCAGTATAATTAAAAGTTAGTAGTAAAATATGAAAATAAAAAAAGAATTCTTAATTAGAATGAAAAAAGAAACGGAATTCGTAATAATCTATCTATATATAATCTATATCTATATCTATATCTATCTATATCTATATAAAAGTAAAATCCTCCTTCCCAAATTTTTCCACAAAACTTAAGGGTATTTGTGTAATATTCAAATAATAATAATAATAATAATAGTAATAATAATAATAATAATAATAATAATAATAATGCCATATACACACCAACGATTTTGTCTTAATTAATTCCTCCAATTAAGTTGTTACCAAAAGTACGTATTTCCTTTTTTATCAATTCAGTCAAAATATTAACCAATATATATATTATCATCATTATCAATCTCTTTAGACCAATAATATACACACCAACTATTTTGTCTTAATTAATTCCTCCAATTAAGTTGTTACCAAAAGTATATCCTTTTTTACCAATTCAGTCAAAATATTAACCAATATATATATATATATATATATATATATATATATATATATATATATATATATATATATATATTATCATCACTATCAATCTCTTTAGACCAATATATCTTCTTCATGGCTTTCAAGTTCCAAACTATTTTCAAGTCTCTTCCTTCTGTCGGTGGTTGCTTCATGCCTTCTAAGTTCCAAACTATTTTCAAGTCTCTTCCTTCTGTTGGTGGTTGCTTCATGTAAGTCCATTCATCTTTTATAGCTTTCACCCATAAAATATTTTACTATGGGTATATCATATACCGACATTAAATTAATTTCTCTGGTAAAATCAGATCTTCAACTTCACAATGATATATTTTAAGAGTCTACATTAAAAATATAAGAGAGAACATACATGCTTATTAGATGTGTGAAAATACTAATATTGTGAGTTGATATAATGATTGCAGGTATTTGGAGTGGTGGTGAAGCAAAGAAGAATAATGATTTGCCATGCAAGGCAAATAAGGATTGTGTAGATCCCGATCCTTTGAGTGCTTGCTATTGTGATCATCTTGATATTTTCTTTTTCTTTTTTAATTTAGTACACGACTGATGTCTGATGCCATGCTATAGTTTATCACAGGCTCCCTTTGTAAATGATGTGGGATCATTTTTGATCCCACATTGAAAATGTTTGAAAAGAGAGAGCTCCTCTATATAAGAGGAGCAATGATCCTCTTATAAACATAATTGCTTGCCCATCGATGTGGACAAGTATTGAGAAGTCAAAAGGTTTTTATTTAAGAAGTCTTAACTTTGTCTTTTTATTTTAATTTTTATTTATTTATTTATAATTTTTATGTATGTGTTGTATTAGTTTTTAGCAGTTTGGAGCAAATTACTGATTTATTATATAATGTTTTTGGGTGTTTTGATTAAAGTTAAAATGTTAAAATGACGAATTTGTTAAAATTTTGACGAATTTATTAATAATCAAATTATAGAAGTAATAATAATAATAATAATAATAATAATAATAATAATAATAATAATAATAATAATAATAATAATAATAATAATAATAATAATAATAATAATAATAATAATAATCCAAACAAAATGATATACAAAATAAAATTAATTTTTTTAAAAAAAAAAAAAAAAAGAAGAAGAAGAAATAAGGGAGCCACGGGCTCCCCTTTGTAAATGATGTTGGATCATTTTGATCCCACATTGAAAATATTTAGAAAATGAGCTCTTGCTCCTCTATTACAAACATAATTGTTTGTCCATCAATGTGGGAAAGTATTGAAAAGTCCAAAGGCTCATATTTTATATATTTTTTGAATACTATTGACCCGTCAAATTATGCTGTGGAATCGTGTCCACCTAGCAAGATAGACACAGTTCTAAAATTGTTCATAATTACGAATATGTAGTTCAAAAATTATGAATATATAGTTCTATAATTATGAACATAGTGTTGTGAACATAATTATGAACATATAGTTATGTAATTATGAATATAGAGATTCAATAATTGTAAATATGAAGTTAAAAAATTATGAATATATAGCTTTATAATTATGAACATATAGTTCGATCAGTAATTATGAACATATAGTTTTGTAATTCTGAATATAGAGTTCAATAATTATGAATATGAAGTTCAAAGGTTATGAATATATAGCTTTATAATAATGAACATATAGTTTAGTAATTATGAATATAGAACTGTGTCCACCTTGCAAGGTGGACATGATTCCACAACATAACTATTCGATTCACCCTGTTACATGTAGTATGTGTTCATATAAACTTTCTCAACCTATTGAAACCCAACGTGTCAAAAGGCTCTTATTTAAGAAACCTTATTTTAATGGCTTCTTATTTTAGTTTTTTTTAAAAAAAAAATTATTAGGGGGTTTGGGAAAGATTAACCTAAAATGTATATGTGCTGTTTTAGTTTTTAGTATCTTGGAGCAAATTGCTTAAGTTATTTATTAAATAATATTTATGGTGTTTCGATTAAATATAAAATGTTCAACCGGCGAATTTCTTAAAATTTTGGTGAATTTGTCAAATAATAATAATAATAATAATAATAACAATAATAATAATAATAATAATAATAATAATAATATTATTATTATTATTATTATTATTATTATTATTATTATTATTAATAATAATAATAATAATAATAATAATAATAATAATAATAATAATAATAATAATAATCCAAACAAAACTATATATAAAATAAATTTAAAATTAAAATAATAATTATAAAAATAAAAAATAAAATAAAATAAAAAAACAAAGGGGAGCCACGGGCTCCCTTTGTAAATGATGTGGGATAATTTTGATCCCACATTGAAAATGTTTGAAAAGAGGAGCTCTTGAGCTCCTCTATATAAGAGATACGAACATAATTGTTTGCCCATCAATGTGGCAAGTATTGAGAAGTCAAAAGGCTCTTATTTAAGAAACTTTAGCTTTGTCTTCTTATTTTATTTTATTTATTTATTATTTATTTATTATTATTAGTGTGGGTTGGGAAAGATTAACCCAAAAAAAATGTATGTGTTGTTTTAGTTTTTAGCAATTTGGATCAAATTACTGAGTTATTAAATAATATTTTTGGTGTTTTGATTAAAGATAAATTGTTAAAATTTTGACAAATATGTCAATAATAATAATAATAATAATAATAATAATAATAATAATAATAATAATAATAATAATAATAATAATAATAATAGACAAAAGGGAGCCACTGGCTCCCTTTTTAAATGATGTGGGAGCATTTTGATCTCACATTGAAAATGTTTTGGAAAGGGCATTTTGATCTCACATTGAAAATGTTTTGGAAAGGGGAGGCCTCTGAGTAGCAATGCTCCTCTTACAAACATAATTGATTGCCAGCAAGTATTGAGAAGTCCAAAGTCTCTCTCTTTTAAAAAAAAAAATTAAATTTTTTTTGAGAAGTAAAGGAAAATTAAACATGGAAAGGAAAATTTTCAAAAAAAAAAAAAACATGGAAAGGAAATATTTCAATAATAATATTTTACATCATCAAATAGTAAATGCATATTTTTATAAATGGTTAATTTCACTTTTGGTCCTATGATTATTGGTGTGTTGTCAATTTCAATCCACAACTTTCAAAACTAACAATTTAGTACCCTAACTATTTAATTTTTTTAAATTTTAGTCAGTCCGACCAAATTGCTTGCCGATTTGTAGCCAATGGTCACCAATTTTTATCTAT